AAAATTCAACCAAAATTTAAATCAATTTAAACCAATAGAGTTCTCAACATGGAAGAGGGGGAGGGGTTTCGATTTTGTCCGACAAGTTGAGAGAAAAATAAAAAGAGATCAGTTTTGGTTTAGTCAGATAAGTTGAGAGAAAAAAAAAAGAAGATAAAATTGATTGAACAAGAGAGAGAGAGAAGTGAAAGGGTGTTTTGGCGAGGTTTAAGGGCTCGCTAGATTTGGAAAGCTAATTTGGTGAAATGAAAAAATGCAAATGTTCGTAATCATATTTTGCACACAAAACAATTGATTTCGCGACTTTACCATTCTGCCGAGACCTGCCCTCAAATATAGCACCCATAGGTCATGACTTTTATTACCATGATAGTCAAAGTGAAGATAAGCCTTCAGGGGGCATGCTTTGCTAATTTTGGAAATCCATATAAAGTGGCACCACAGTGAGAGATTTTTTTTTTCAACTGTTGGTGTATTTGAATCAGTTTACACATATTTCAATTAATTCTTTCTCTGGTATAATCATCAAAGGCAGGTCATTCACTAAAGAATTACGGTATTTATGGGTGATAATTCTTTCATGACTTGATCTCAAGAAATTGTCAAAATTTAAATTCAAAACGCCTGAATTTATAACTTATTTTCATCGCCACTTGAATTACCCTCGTCCAAACTTTATTCACACTTAAAGACAGTTGGACCAATCTGGTACGCTATTTACACATCATGGTTTCGACCTTAGGGAGCCATGGGCTAAAGTTTGTCACTGTTTTGGACGTCATTTGTACATGTAAATGATATTTGGATGCTGACTTGTCAAGGACAAGATTTAAAGAGAAGTCCATCCCCCCATTGCTTTGCTTATGAGGTTAGGAAACACTTGCTCTTATTAGCTCCCTTGGTATATACTATATATAGTACATAACACNTTATTCGCGTTAATTATTCTCTCAAGTTCAAATGTTAATCTTTATAGTCTGAACAGGTTTAGAACATATCCCCTAAAAAATAATGATGGTTAATCCTTTGGAGAAATTGAGAACTGTTGAATCTGAGACATTTGAATTATTAAAGTTCAAATTTAACCACTAAATCACCCCTAAAAATTTATTTAGGGAGAGATTTTTATCAACGTATGACCGTAAAACTCTTGCTTGAGCAATTCTTTAATGCCACAATTGAAATCTGCCTTGATTAGGGCCTCGATTGATCAACACCACTTTTGACGATCCTTTTTTACCATCTAATCTTCTACTATACATAATGCATAAACTAGTAAGAGAAGGCTCTTAACATGTTTTAAGCAATGCAAAATTGATACCCCGTGCATGCCTCATGAACTGAATCCATTTTCTTCACAAATAACTGGCACTTTACTTTCTTTTGACTATATGATATTATGTCTTAGATGTTATAGGTTCGAATTATGAAAACGGTTTCTCTATTTGTAGAAATAAGACTATGTACATTTAATCTTTTATAGAATTCGCAATAACGAGAGTTTCGTACCCTGGTATATTCATATGATGCTTTTAGACCAAGCTGGCTAAATGATGCTTAGTTGTTAGAAAACATATAAAAAACAAAGAACATATGAGAAAGTGTTATGATCCGAAACACCTGGATAGAGGAAAAAGGACACACACAGATACAAAGCACCATGCCTAATGGCAGAGGTTGTGGATCTGATTGCGCCTGCAATGATCTCTCTCTCTCTCTCTCTCTCTCTCTGTGGTAGCGTGGAAGGATTTAAAGGATTACAGTGATAAATGGGTTAATACAAATTTACTTAAATATAACACGGATTAGGATAAATATAATTTATATACAATACGAATCAAACATGACATAAACTCACTTATAAAAAATTAAAACCAATTGCGTCATCAGAATCTGTGTTTTAACAAATTTGAGACGACACCACCCATCAAGGGCGGAGACACGTTCAAGGGTTTTGGTTGACACCTACATTTGTAGGGTTAGAAATCTCATGACCAAAGTAAAATTAATACAATAGCCCCTTAACTTTTTGAAAATTTCTATATAGTACTCAAGTTCTTTTTCACTAATAAACTGTCAATTATCTCATAACCCAAAAAAATAAATATTACATTTGGACAGAGTAAAATACATGTACAATATTGTGATTTGTATATTGATCAAGGGCTATAATTCTCTTCTATTTAATATATTATCCCTATTTTTTTCGGCACAATTACTCTTTTTTAATAAGTTAGAAGTCGTAACCTAGTAAAATACTGTTAGATAGAACGGGTAAATGGTTCTGATCCAAAAGTATTTTTTTACTCTTTCAATGAATTAACTCACCGTGAAGAAAGATATAATCCAACGAAATTTATGATATAATCAATCAAATATAAATAACTTTTAAATTGAAGAACATCATATTTCACTACAATTTGTCATTCAGTCTTTGATTTTTTGTCATATTTTACCCCTTTTCACATATAATCCTGACTCCGCCCTGATGACATGCGTATTTAATACATTACAACACAAAACCATTAACAGTGTTACAGAGTGGATTTAGTTGCCCACTCTATCTACCCATGGGTACAGCTTCAAGAGCTTGTGTTCAAAGACATGTTCCACGACAGTTCCATGTGAATTTCAAGTCAAATGCAATACGAAAGCATGTGTACACAGTCATGCTANAAGTTTGGGACCCTCATAAACAAATTGATCATGATGAGTTTTTGAGCTACATGTATATATGTAACTACATTCCAAAAAAATGATGTAGTGTAGAACTTACGTGTTTCCCCTAAAAATAGTGTTGAGGAATTGTGTTCCATTCAGCGGAGAAGGGACATAAATGAACCGTAAATTTTGATGTTTTTAGTTTAAATTTTAGCAATCATTTGAGGTCTTTATGATTCCATATCGAAGATCAAAAAAAAAANAACCAAATTCTCAGGGTGACTACTCCTTATTTTTTTTTTTTTTGAGTAACTACTACTCTTTATTGATTCCTAACACTTCATGCACGAGTTACACTCTATACATAGAGTGACGATAGATTTTCATTTTATTGAGATAAACAAGAATCTGACTGTGGTCTACTTGAAACATTAGTGATTAAGAGGGGCGGAGCCATGAATATCTACGAGGGAGTAAAATATAATTGACACAAAAAANAATTCCACTGAAACCATATCGTCAAATTTTTAAGTCCACATAGAATTACTCAAAAAAAAAAAAAATTATTTTCTTGAACATTAAGCCATGAGACGAGAGACACATATTCAAGAGTTCACACTTTGCATTGAAATGATTTGGTAGACCACCTCTCTTTCATTGATTTGTCAAAGTAATGTTACGTTGATCAAATTTTAAAGTTAAATTAAAAGTTTAAATGACATGACAGTATATTATTTAGAACTTTTATTAGGGTTTAAAAAATATGACGTCAAATAAAAAAGTTCAAATCAACTGTCATATACCTCTTAATTTAGTTCAAAAATTTGTCATGTACGTTCTTTTTGTAAAACTTGATGATTGGTCGGATATAAAGCCATTGCACCACGTTAGATGGGAAATTAAGCATCAGATAGGATATATAATCATGATCAAATGAATACCCNGGTACACTGCCAAGAGACCTCTGCCTACTTTGGTTAAATCTTTGGGTAAATCTATTGATCGAGGCCAATCGATGAATAGTAATCCCGAGACGTTTTAACATTCTCAAAAATAGGAGATTCACAGCCGAACCCCTATCTATCGNGGAATTTATTCAAATCAGTATAGCTAGGGACCACATAACTCTTATTGCGGATACCATAATACTTTTTGAGGCCAAATTTTACTTTTTAAAGAAGAAATTACAATTGATAAGGGACGTTTATGATTGATCATAACATTTAATGATGGATCATGAAATTACTTCAAACAATTATAATTTCACTTTTAAAAGCTGTCACTCGATTTCAAAAGATAAGAAACTTAAATCCGGTGTCAATTTTTTTTGGATACTTTAGAATTACCCTTTATAAACAGTGGTATCAACAGTAAAATTAACAAAGAACAAGATATAAAACGGTAAGTTTAACTGTAAAAACAGAAAACGATAATAACATTAAGAAGAATCATACAGTTACTCTGTTATTTTTTTACATCAATATGGCTAGTCTAGGTTTAACAACCACAAGCTAATCTCTAGGACTTTGTGCTAAAGACTTTAAAGTCAAAATGGACAGTAACAGAGAATCTACATCAGATCTAGTCATATTTGGTCGGTTATCTATGTCTTTTTGTGTCTCTGTTGTCTTCTTCTTCCAGAGATTTTTCTGAATGCCCTTTATTCATGTTCCACAGACTCCACAATCCACTTGACTTTGAACCAGAGCCTTGAGTTGATGAACCATTATACTTGATACTAAAGAATAAGAAGATTTTTGTACTATGCCACCCCCTTCTTTCATCCATTTTTTTGGTGCAGTGAAATCCTCATACTAACTGGAAAAGTTCAAGAGAAAGAGCAAAAGTCGGTCAGTAAAAAAAGCTAGGAACATATTATTGGAGAACCATTACAATGCCTACTTCAATTTCGTACTAAAAATTACTACAAAATAACAATGAAATTACAAACCCATTTGATGAAGTTACGATTCAATTTAATTCAAGTTACAATCCCATAAGATTAAGTTGTCATTTAAAAAATTGAGGACAATTCTAAAATTGTAACATGGATTCTAAAATGTTTGAATCTATCTCAAACCACTCATTTTGCTATAGCCTTGCCAGATTAAGTCTAACCATACTTTATTTTGTGATAACTTTCAAAAAATACAAGAAAAAGTAACTTGAGTTTTTCCTTAATATTTAATCTAATTAATTGACATTTCTTCTGTAATCTATCTGGCCAGTATTCTGCATTTCTGATGACAGCAGTAAAACAACTTTGAAATTTGCGGTAGTGTGTGTAATATATTTTTGTGTATTTATTATTTTTATCCATTTGCCTATGTAGTTACTTAATTATAGCTATTCAGACAAGGATTGAGGGCTTACCAGATGTTTGTAGGGCAGCTTTGGTCTCATATTAATTGAAAGAACACAAGTTGTTGGTGAAACCAGATTGATTTAGAAGTTTTGGGCTGTGGCCATCCACATCCCACAAGAGCTGTCCATTAGCCTGAAAATGATGTATTTGTCAAAGTTAGGAAAGATAGTTTTTTTTTCTTTTCTTTTGTTTATATTTTATGTTCATTTGTACTTTTGAGTATGTACAGGTGGAAATAGTGTTATATGCCCTTTCATGAAGTGAAAACATACCTGAGAGAGGCTATTTGGCCCCTGCCCTTCTTGAAACAGAACTGAAGTAGACGTGTTCAGAAGAGGGTGGTTGTTGGCTGAGCTAAAGGTGGTATTGGTTGTATCAGAAAATACTGTGGGCTGGGTAGAGCTACATTGCAACACATTTGGTAGGGGTGATGCCAAGCTGCTCAACTTCTAAATATCATGAGAGAGAGAGAGAGAGAGCATCAGCTTTCATCTAGAGAAATGATCACATAGAACCAAACAAGTAGATAAAGGAAATAATATTTGTTGTATGGAGTAGTTTACACAGATTGTTTTGTTTTACCTCAGGTTTAACCATGAGAGCATCAAAGTCCATTCCAAAGTCGTAGAACATGGGATTCATGAAACCAAGCTTCATAGAAAGGAACTGCAAAATGGAAACAGGCATAGAAGGATAGGATAAGTTGATGAAAATTACGTTTAGACCTCCTTAACTATGGCCTCGATTTCACTTTGCCCCTCAATTATTGAAGAATTACCTACCTCTACTTGATTTTGTAGGGACTGGACATAGTTAATTATTTCATCCAACATCAGGGCCTTTCCAGTCACCTATTTTTCAATCAAGCCACATGAAGCTGTCAGAACACCAACAAGCATTTTATTCTATAAAGAAAGACAGAGTGTTACAAAGAGCTGAACTGAAGCTGACCTTGTCGCACCCAGGAACAAGAGCTTGCAACAACTTCATCCTCTCACTTATTTTCTCTCTCCTCACCTGAAATCCATTTGCAGAAAAAAGAATGATTGTCCTGAGTCATGAATAGTTTGACATGATAAGAATTTAGATAATTATTGCTATAAAATCTGCTCTGTATGTGTGGGCATAATGGGCAGTTCTTGCCTTAAAATGTAAGAACTAAGAAGACAGTTCTAAATAGCTTGTAATAATGAATAGTATTAGTACCCTCTCTGCGAGGCTGTGACTGTCTGTTGCTTGGCCCCTCCTTGCTCTTACATGAATGTAGCCTATAGGAGCTTCTTCAGCAACTTTGTTCTTATCCTTTTTATCAGCTCTATGCTTCTTTTCTTCACCTTCTTTCATTCCACCATTGCTCATCTTTTGCTTCTTCCCTTTCATTACTCTTGCACCCTAACAAAATGAGCCATCAAGTAGCAAGAAAACTACAAATCAAATCTAATATAGCCTAAGAGAAGAGTGGATTTCGGTTTTGGTATCATACTAAAATTTATACTTAAATAAGGGTTAGTTAAAACAAAATAGATGTTAGGGTCAATTTCGAAGAATTCTCTTTTTGTTGGGATCTGATTAGATTGAGTCATAATCTTGCTCTTATTTTATAGTTTTTTTTTTCCTTTTTTTGAGAAGGGGGAGGGGGAAGGGGTCTGAACTCTTGACATTAAGAAGGTAAAATTTTCACAAAATAAAGAGTACCACTAGACTAAAGTTCCGTCGATAATACTCTTATTTTATAGTAACTTTTGATACTATACTTCTTTAGTTGGAGTACTACCTAGTAATATAGAATAAGAACATATAAAATTTAAAACAAATTAAGAACCACCAACATGCCAAAAAAAAAAAAAAAGAAGAAACCACATAATTCAAGACAAATTTTACTGTAATTTACCTTAGACTGAGCAGAACTCAAAGAAGAGCCATCCGCGCACCTCCTCTTCTTCTCCATAGGGGTCAGCTTCTGAGTGACTTGTTCACCACTCTCTAGTTTATCAATGACTGATGAGGAATCTGGGCTATGTTTGTTTGTCACAGAGGGTTCATTATTGCTAAGAGCAACTTTTGTGCTATGCTCAAAGCAGCTACTTTCAGGGACACTAAATTCCTCAGCAATATCCCGAAGAGTTTCAGGTTGGTATAAATGATAAAAACAGGTAGGGGTGTTGTTTGGTTCCTCGGAAAATCCAGGAAACTTAAAGGGAGTGTTTGGCATGAAAAGAGAGTCAAGAAGAAAAGGTTGCTGGTATGAAAAAGCTGCCATTTGAATGCTTTGGAATTGGAAATGGAAGAAGGGTTCAGGAAAGTGATGGAAGAGAGAAGAGGAATGGTTTGTTCACTTTGTTGATATTTGGACGCAGAGGTATCAGTCAAGGAAAAGGGTGGGTCTGAGACAATCTAGCAAGGCCAGGTTTAAATAAACATGAAGAGAGAAATAGGACAACAAAAAATGCTAAAATCCTATACAGCTCATCCCCATGCAAGTTTCTTTACATTTGACTGCTCTCTCTTTTTTTTTTCAACTATGAAAGTATTTAGATCAGATTACGTGTGTATTTTGAGTAATTTTTTCTCCGATTTAATCAAAAACATGTCATTTACGCTAAAATTAACATATTTATGAGAAATAAATCTATCATAATTTTGTCCTATGTGATTGCCCTTCGAGTTCTGCTCCTCAATTTCTCTATAAGTCAAATTTTTATTTTTAATACTTGATAATATGTCTAAGATAGAGTAACATTAAAATTATTTATACATAAATATATATAATCACACATTAATTATAAGTATGGCTTAAACTCGAGAGTTTCCTGCAAAATTTAAATGTAAAACATCGAAGTTTACGATCACGTGGGTAGTATGCCAAAAGTTTTTTTTTTTTCTTCTCAGAAGGTTGTTTGGTGTGAAAAATTGAAGGCATGGGAGGGTAGGGTTGTTAAAGATCTTTGCTTATCTCTGTAGACAAGACCATGTCCTCCAGACTGAACAACTTATGGCTACATGTCATTTAAGTCTTGTGGTCCTTGATTTATTGCACAGTGACAGCATCGTTGACTCATCTGTAAATTTATTGATTTAATTTATTAATTTAAAAAATTATTGCTATTGTGCTGATACTCAACTCTAATCTTAGTTAAAACTCGTTATCAATTTAATAATTATTAATAAATTAGATCAATAAATTAAATTTAAATATTTATTTTCTTATTCGCGTTAATTATTCTCTCAAGTTCAAATGTTAATCTTTATAGTCTGAACAGGTTTAGAACATATCCCCTAAAAAATAATGATGGTTAATCCTTTGGAGAAATTGAGAACTGTTGAATCTGAGACATTTGAATTATTAAAGTTCAAATTTAACCACTAAATCACCCCTAAAAATTTATTTAGGGAGAGATTTTTATCAACGTATGACCGTAAAACTCTTGCTTGAGCAATTCTTTAATGCCACAATTGAAATCTGCCTTGATTAGGGCCTCGATTGATCAACACCACTTTTGACGATCCTTTTTTACCATCTAATCTTCTACTATACATAATGCATAAACTAGTAAGAGAAGGCTCTTAACATGTTTTAAGCAATGCAAAATTGATACCCCGTGCATGCCTCATGAACTGAATCCATTTTCTTCACAAATAACTGGCACTTTACTTTCTTTTGACTATATGATATTATGTCTTAGATGTTATAGGTTCGAATTATGAAAACGGTTTCTCTATTTGTAGAAATAAGACTATGTACATTTAATCTTTTATAGAATTCGCAATAACGAGAGTTTCGTACCCTGGTATATTCATATGATGCTTTTAGACCAAGCTGGCTAAATGATGCTTAGTTGTTAGAAAACATATAAAAAACAAAGAACATATGAGAAAGTGTTATGATCCGAAACACCTGGATAGAGGAAAAAGGACACACACAGATACAAAGCACCATGCCTAATGGCAGAGGTTGTGGATCTGATTGCGCCTGCAATGATCTCTCTCTCTCTCTCTCTCTCTCTCTGTGGTAGCGTGGAAGGATTTAAAGGATTACAGTGATAAATGGGTTAATACAAATTTACTTAAATATAACACGGATTAGGATAAATATAATTTATATACAATACGAATCAAACATGACATAAACTCACTTATAAAAAATTAAAACCAATTGCGTCATCAGAATCTGTGTTTTAACAAATTTGAGACGACACCACCCATCAAGGGCGGAGACACGTTCAAGGGTTTTGGTTGACACCTACATTTGTAGGGTTAGAAATCTCATGACCAAAGTAAAATTAATACAATAGCCCCTTAACTTTTTGAAAATTTCTATATAGTACTCAAGTTCTTTTTCACTAATAAACTGTCAATTATCTCATAACCCAAAAAAATAAATATTACATTTGGACAGAGTAAAATACATGTACAATATTGTGATTTGTATATTGATCAAGGGCTATAATTCTCTTCTATTTAATATATTATCCCTATTTTTTTCGGCACAATTACTCTTTTTTAATAAGTTAGAAGTCGTAACCTAGTAAAATACTGTTAGATGGAACGGGTAAATGGTTCTGATCCAAAAGTATTTTTTTACTCTTTCCATGAATTAACTCACCGTGATCAAAGATATAATCCAACGAAATTTCAGATATAATCAATCAAATATAAACAACTTTTAAATTGAAGAAGATCATATTTCACTATAATTTGTCGTTCAATCTTTGATTTTTTGTCATATTTTATCCCTTTCCACATATAATCCTGACTCCGCCCCTGATGACATGCGTATTTAATACATTACAACACAAAACCATTAACAGTGTTACAGAGTGGATTTAGTTGCCCACTCTATCTACCCATGGGTACAACTTCAAGAGCTTGTGCTCAAAGACATGTTCCACGACAGTTCCATGTGAATTTCAAGTCAAATGCAATACGAAAGCATGTGTACACAGTCATGCTGACCCAACCAAACCTAAAGTGTGCAGTGACAAAATTAAATAGTAACAAATAAAATAGAAGCATACAATAACTTAAAGAATTAACATGGTTTGACCTATAAAACTTACATTGACGAACCAAATTCTCAGGGTGACTACTCCTTATTTTTTTTTTTTTGAGTAACTACTACTCTTTATTGATTCCTAACACTTCATGAACGAGTTACACTCTATACATAGAGTGACGATAGATTTTCATTTTATTGAGATAAATAAGAATCTGACTGTGGTCTACTTGAAACATTAGTGATTAAGAGGGGCGGAGCCATGAATATCTATGAGGGAATAAAATATAATTGACACAAAAAAATAATTAGCTGAAATTGATATAAAAAAATTCAGTTCAAGAATGACAAAAAAAAAAAGAATCAAGACAAAATTATTGTGAAATTGTAAATTCAATTTCTATTTAGCCGAAATAAAATCTTAACAAAAAGACACAAAATAATTTTTTTGGTACATTTTAACAAAATTATAAAAGTCTCTAAAATTTTGTATATGAATTAAATGTAAATTAATTTTTCACAGTCCATCCTGGTCCCCATGTGGCTCCGCCCATGGTGATAAGTAGAAGGGACGACGTAATTCTCATTCATCCAAGGCTGCAAAAGTAGAACATTATTTGATGTTTTTGCATCAACAACATAAAGGGGTATGATATCCTTCAATTCCTCAATCTTTAATTCAAGAGGTACACTGCCAAGAGACCTCTGCCTACTTTGGTTAAATCTTTGGGTAAATCTATTGATCGAGGCCAATCGATGAATAGTAATCCCGAGACGTTTTAACATTCTCAAAAATAGGAGATTCACAGCCGAACCCCTATCTATCGTGATTCTTGTTATCTCATATCAACTCATCCCAATCTTTAAGGAAGAGATCGACGATCTCAAATACTTTTATCCCATTCAAAAAGTATTTTCCGTCGTAGGAGGTGAGAAGAGTCCTTACTCTGTCCCACACAAAATCATGGGATATGATTTTCAACAACTTTGAATGGCGTCAACCTTCATACATGCATTTAGTTAGGCCTATTTCATAGTATCTACCAACCGTATCATTCGATTATTGCATTCAATATTAGCTTCATTTCTTACTGGGTAGCACATTTTGGTGTAAATGAAAATAAGAGAAGAAATAGAAATACAGCAGTCAGATTCATTTCCTCTTCTTGTTCATGCAAAATGACTGATGTCATCTTCTCGGGTAATTCTATGGTACCTAAAAAAAAAAATGGGTACAGTACCAAAAGTTACTATTTTTGGAGGTCAAATTACATTTTTTAATTAAGGTAAAATTACAACTGCTTAAGTTAACTTCATGATTATGGTCTATTTACCTCTAGCAGTTGTAACTTCATATTTAAAAAGTGTAACTTGACCTAAAAAAATAATAATTTTACCTTTTAAAGTTGTTATTTCTATCATTTTTTCAATTGTAACTTTTATCTTCAAAAGGTATAACTTGACCTCAAAAAAATGTGTAAATTTCACTACTTCGGTATCCCAGTACCGTAGTCTTCCTCTAGGTTGTCATATTTTCTTTTCTTTTTTTGACTAAATTCTCTAGAGAAGGAAAAAAAAAATTCAGCATTTTTAACTTCATATAGNTATACTAAGGCCATAATAGAGGGAGGAATTAGGTTTCCTTTACCCCCCTTACTCCTTAAGTTCCTCTCTCATTTCCGCCTCTTTCCCGGGCAATGTTGCANGAGACAATCTAGCAAGGCCAGGTTTAAATAAACATGAAGAGAGAAATAGGACAACAAAAAATGCTAAAATCCTATACAGCTCATCCCCATGCAAGTTTCTTTACATTTGACTGCTCTCTCTTTCTTTTTTTCAACTATGAAAGTATTTAGATCAGATTACGTGTGTATTTTGAGTAATTTTTTCTCCGATTTAATCAAAAACATGTCATTTACGCTAAAATTAACATATTTATGAGANGAAGGAAAAAAAAAATTCAGCATTTTTAACTTCATATAGCAATTTTAGGTGGTGTACATTAACTATAAAATATTATCTATAATATAAAATGAGACAGACTTCAGTAAGCTCATTCAGTGGTCTCAAATGAACTCATCTAACGGCCACCAACATCTTTCTCAAAACTTTTCATATTGCACCGTGCCTTCAANAGCAATTTTAGGTGGTGTACATTAACTATAAAATATTATCTATAATATAAAATGAGATAGACTTCAGTAAGCTCATCCAGTGGTCTCAAATGAATTCATCTAACGGCCACCAACATTTTTCTCAAAACTTTTCATATTGCACCGTGCCTTCAAGCACAGGTTACCCCCAATACATTCCTAATAAAGAACTATCATCCATTACTTTGTCAAATGTTTTTTCGAAAAAAACCAATTTATGTATCNC